AAATAATGTCTTAAGATGCTAATACGGCTCTCTATGAATATCGGCCATAGTCGGTTTTTATTTGAAGACCGTCTTAAGTAATGTCTCAAGACGCTAATGCGGCTTTCTGATTGGTTCATGACACCTCAAGGCTGAACTTAAGGCGGTCTTAAATATATCATGAACCAATCAGAGAGCCGCGTTAGCGTATTAAAACATTACTTAAGATGGTTTTGAAATAAGAACCGATTATGAATACCGGCCTTAGTATCTTACTTCATGTTCATGACTATTCAGGTTAGGATATCTGTCATACCGACTCGATATGAGCGCTGTGTATGTACATACTTTATTTTCGTGCGCATGGGCTGTGATCATGCGCGTATACAAGTTTTGTTGGCAGATAAAATATTTTTGCTATAGAATAAGATATCATGTCGTATACAATAGAGCAATTGAATGCGAATCCTTGGCTTGCTATCCAAGATGTAGTTGGAGATGCAAAATTCATTTGAAAATTATTTTGGGATCGCAATTTAACCGATCACAAGCGAATGCTTATTGTGAATTTCGCGTATTTAAATGCAGTGTCTGAGCATTTCTTGCATGATATATTATCTTTCACATTGAAAGAAGTATACACACGAAATCGAAGAAGCGATATTCACTACAGATTTCAATATTTAAATCACGAGGTACTATTAATTTTAATTAATGAATCAAATATATCATAAAAGATTGGTAAAATTTTTCAAAATTTATAGGAATTTGGACGACAAAGACGGAGTCGTGTCTACAATTATTATGTTTATTTCAAAGAAATGTTGGATTTGAATTTTGTGAAGAAAAACAGAAGTACTATCTAAAAACACAAAAAGTCACTGCTTTAAAAACAAAATTGTGTTTTTAGACAGTACTTTTGTGTTTTTAAAGCAGTGACTTTTTGTGTTTTTAGACAGTACTTTTGTGTTTTTAAAGCAGTGACTTTTTGTGTTTTTAGACAGTATTTTTGTGTTTTTGAAACAGTAAATTTGTGTAATTAAAGGGTTAGGCCACTGTAGAAATTTCAAAAAATCGATTTTTTTTTGCTTAAAAGATGCCTTAATATCTTAATAATGACATATTCAAAGGATAAAGGCGGGAAAAATGTCTAAATACTTTTATTTTGAATTTTGGCGCAGCGCCTCTCAGTCTGTAGCGAGCGCCTTTTACGATCACTACGACGCGCTGGAATTTATGAGGTTGGTGCAGGTAAACGGCAGTAGGTAATGAATGTATTTTATACCTGAAGAGACTTTCATATTAAAGGTGGTTATACTCAAAACAGTAATGAAAGTTTGAATTCGATGGTGTGGGTTTTAGCGCCAAAATCAGTTTCCAGTGGAAAAAATGTGTTAGATATTGCAACGAATATTTCTGTTTGTGTTTATAACGACGGCTTTTCATCAATTATGCACATATTTTATGCTTTGGGCATGAAAATCGGACCTAACAGCTATAATAAGTGTCTGGAGGTGGACGAGTAACGCATCAAGCATGCAGAGCAATCATTATCTGACGCTGCAAAACAGACACGGATCGCTTTGAAAGCTCACAGAAAAGAAGAACTCGAGCAGGACGTTAATTCGGAAGGCCAATTATATGGCGCAGGCATCGCTGACTAAAGGTATATAAAATTTTATTAACGATTTTTCCATACCGAAAACTCCATACTTTAAACGCGTTTTTCTCGAAACTACGTTTTTCAAGTCGGCCGAACTCATAACTCGAACAAATATTGACCGATTGACTTGAAATTTGAACTGTATATTCACAATTACATTCTGCATGGAAGTACGTAGGATTTTTCGATATGTTACATAGTTTTTTTTTATAAACAATTTTAGGTCGATTTTTTTTTAAAATTTTGAACATTTTTTTTAAAAACCGCGCCATTTTTGTAAAAATCGATATATCAAAAAAATCCTATGTACTTCTCTAGCTATTCTCATGTATAATCGAAAAAAATTTGTCTGATCACCGTAAATTAAAAATTGCAAGTGCAGTTGGTTCGGCCGCGCGCCCTTAAAAAAAAAGGCTTCATCATAAAACAGCTGTGTAGCGGCCATTTTGTTTTATTTTACTTCGAAAAAAATTATTTTTGCAGTTTATGACATGTATAATAAAGTGCCTTTTTCAGAATTTTGATTTATTTTATTGTTCCGCTGAAAAAAATTCCCAAAATATGCTTATTTTTTCCGCCGTTACAGTGGCCTAACCGCTTAAGGCAGAGAATATTTTTAGGTGTTACGTGACCATGACAGATATTCTAATCTGAATAGTCGTGAACTATAACGCTTAATATCTCGGTTCGCGGGACAGAGCGACGCTTTTTTCTACCAGATTTTTTCGTTTTATGGAAAAACGCGTCGAGTGAGTATAATTTCATCGATTTTTAAGAGGATGACCGTCCTCTTAAAGGAGATTGCACCTTTACCATAAAAATAAATGTATAAAATTATTATATATTATATGTGTATATACAAAATTTTTAAGAAGAAATCTTATATACCGATGGCTATTGAATATGCCTTATATTATCATCATTAGCAGTACAGAATACTGTAATACCTACTGCACTGTTTTTAAGAGTAAGTTACACTATTTGACGCTACATATTAATGTTGTTGTAAATCGTCTGCTCGTTCTCCTTTGAATTTTTTGGAAAGAAAAAACAATAGTAATAAACAATAATAAGTGACATGCCGCAAATACTTAACAAATTGATCAATACACTGTATTATTTTACATGCCATAAATTTATGTCAACTTCCTTGGTTGTAAGAAATATGGGTAATAATCACATTTAGTTAAAAAAAAAATACTATTATTTTTAAATTACATTCTTAACGTTTCCTAATATGCTTTATTTGAATATGATTGTTACTAACAATAAGTGCATAATAAAATTGGACACTTGTAGCCACCGTGAAACGATTTTATAGAAGGACGAACATACTTTCGAGCGGCGACAAGTTTGAGGTTACTCTGGACCAGAGGAAGTTGAAAACACCGCAGGGTAGAGTATTCGAGGTGAGCAGCAAACCTCTGGCCTTAGCAGTGGCCGCTGAATGGGACGCACAGAAGAAGACAATCGACAGAGGAAGCATGCACTTGGTATGACCAATATAATTATATATGAATAATTTAATTACTTTATGATACTTTACATTATCATATTTGACAAAATCATGATGGAGTAATTGTTTTGAATCTAATAATTTATTATATTATTGTAATCATAGTTGATTTAACAGGATACAGAAATTTATTCTAGAATTACAAATATACTTTGTATTACTAATTTAGTAATTTGGCATTACCAGTTCATAAGATATATTCTATATCTATTCTAAATATATGTAAACATATGCTAACATTCTTTTCTATTATAGACATCCTTGTGCAATACTGTATTGGATAATCCGCACAATCGCACCAAAATAGATCTGGTCAATCACATGGTGAACTGTTTAGAAATGGACACAGTTTTATTTTATTCGAGTGTAAGTATTTATAATAATAAGATTGAAAGACCGCTTATGTTAATTACAATACTTTAAACTAAGAAGCGCCACTAACGATCTGAACGTTAAGATGTCGAACTATTCTAAATTCATTTAAATGAATTGATTTCAGAAATTATAATTGTGCCGATATGGTTGTCGAACTTTCAACGCAATCAAATCTGAAATATTAATAATCTCCCCAAATTTCCCAACTTAAACATTAAATTCTCGACTCCCGGCCGAGGCATTATTTTTCGCAATAAGTTTATTACAGTTTTTAAGTTGGGAAATTTGGGGAGATTATTAATATTTCAGATTTGATTGCGTTGAAAGTTCGACAACCATATCGGCACAATTATAATTTCTGAAATCAATTCATTTAAATGAATTTAGAATAGTTCAACATCTTAATGTTCAGACCGTTAGTGGCGCTTCTTAGTTTAAAGTAAGTATTTATATAAATATTTTTCTCAATACTATTTTTAATATGATAGTTTCTTGATTTTTATGATTTTAGGAAGTGGATGAACTGTATCAGTTACAAATTGAAAAGTGGGAACCAATATTTCATTGGTTTTGTGAACATTATAATGTAGAGATTATGAGAACTCAGAGTATACAGGCACCTACGGTATCTATGGAAACCAAAGCTGCATTAACGAGACATTTATTATCTCATAATTTCAATAGTATTTTTGGTAATAATGCAATTTTGTGAGATTGAATGGTCTATGCTTGTATATATTAATTACTATCTACATATAGGTCTTGTATATGCAGTGGACGGATTAAAATCAATTATTTTAACTCTTGCTACAACTGCAAGAATAATTAATATTCCGGAAGCTGTAAATCTTTCACGCCTAGAAGAAGAATATCAGGTATATATCATCTCGATTGGATTTGTGATAAAAATGTTGATTGTGAGGGGGTCCATTTTGTTTTCCGTTAACATATATGTTAGTGATATGTTTCTATTGTATATCATTATTATATTCTTTCATACATAGATTTCTCACTGGGGCAACGTAGAATGGCATCACGAATACAGTAAACAAGATCTGCAGGCTCGTGTTTCGGCGGCAATGTTATTTGTATATTTGAACTCTCATTCCGCCACTTCTCGACCCAAAAATGACGCCTCTAATGTAAGCTAATCTTATTTTAGATTATTAGAGAATCATTACATCAATAAATATAAAATTTGTAAGAACAACATGTTCACTGTAATATATGTATAACATAATATCGATGCCGACCGATTCCTCTCTTCGTGGTAATTAATAAGAACTGTGAGAGAGAAATCCCTTATGGGGGCATCTAGAAGAATGTTTTTTCAGCGACGAATTAAATAGGAATGGAACAGTCAGGCCCAACCCATTCCTTTGTACAAATGCAACTGAAAAGATGATAAACAATTATATATATATATATATATATAATAGATGGCATAGTTTTGTGACCACATAGAATATCCTATATTTCCCTATTATATAAAAGGAGAAATTGTAATTTTTTTTATATATTACCTATACGATGCTCCATGATGTAAACATACCGCACCGTTTTTGCAAGAGTGGCGAATGCATTCATTACGATTGCATTCACCTACGCCACGGCCGGTGGCAGGACTGGAACCAGTTAGTGGAAGAATCGTCGTGTCTGTACGCAATTCAATGTCGAATATACATCCGGAAAAGCCGGTATGAAGAGGGAGATCGTGCGGCAACATTTCAAAATTTTTGGACTTATAACCACCTGAAAAAGAATGAGAAAAATGTCCTCTATATATTTTTATTCATTTATCTCCGTTTCATGTTAAGTATTATTTCATTTCAACTCCTATTCATCCGAGATGTCTAGATTGTATTTAATGTCAACGTCAGATGTGAGTGAGAATTGATTAGCTACATTTAGTGTAAAATATATGATAACAGACGAGTATTGACATTATGCCAAATGTCAAATCACGCTTCTCTACAACAACGTACCGATATAGAGAACAGGCAATACATCAAGTTGAGTCATAGATCCTACTGCCTGACCAGTCACGTTTTTGAGACCCTCTACAGCAAGCCACGCTTCCTTGCCTCTCCTTCCGATACGAAGAGTATACGTTTTACTTTTACCAGCCGATCCTGTCACGCTCAGAGAGGTCAATGAATCGCTAGTGAAGATTCTTCGCACTCCTATTAAAAGATTATAATATTGAAATATATAATTTCTTTAAAATCTCTATGCCAAAACATTATATAATTGGATATGTACTTTAGTATATATTTTTCTATAAAAAAAATTTTTTTATTCTAAGTAGATGCAATGTAAATATAATAAATAGAGCAAATTACAAAATTCCTTATAATATTTGTTATACTTAATAATTATTTCCTAGATATTTTTTAGACTCATAAATTATCTACATCTGTGCAATTATTGTTATTAAAGATGTAACTGAAAAAGATATTCGAATATATGGAAGATTCTAATTTACATTTATTGATAACTCACCGGAACCCAAATCCCACGTAAGCATAATATAGCCGCGCACAAATGTTATCGAAAGATGGTCCGAAACATCACGGCGCGAGCTTCTCTGTCCGAAGTATGCTATCAGAGAGATTTGATCAAACGTGCGCGGGATGAGTCGCAGCTTCAGTTCCATTGTATCCTTTATCGAAGTAGACACGCCGTAAGCAATGTACGACGCAAAGCCAGGGACGAGGACCGAGAAAGCCGGCCGCACTAGAATGGCATCTGAGAGGACGAGTCGCTTTGTAAGAACTTTGTTGCATTGCGATTTCATTGCATCGCTATCGCATCTATAGAATATCTATTGAATATTTCATTATTACAATTTACCTTCTTCGCAGAAAAGCCCGCGACTGCCGAGTGGACAGACGCAGATGAAACCAGTTCCTGGCGAGCTTACACATGTGGCACCCATCGAGCAGGGATTGTCGTTGCATGCCGAATGTTCGCACAAAGGCCCAGTATACCTGTAAACAGTTTTTGCTGCTAAGCAGGTTTTAAAAACTATTGCTTCTACACTTAAAATTAATTAGTGTTATCAAAACATTTTTTCATTTTTTATCTGTAATTTTGCTCTTATTTTCTTTATTATGTTCACACTACTCCCTTTTTTATTAGATGTATATAAAGATGTATTAAAGAAGGGAAAAATTTGCGTAAATTAATTTTATTACCATTTAATAGATATTTACCCCGCTATACATTTACAACGAATTCTTCCCTCGCTTTCTTCACACGCACCGAAATTTTGACATGGATTCGACAAACATAAAAATGATGTGCATTCTTCAATCTGGAACGTTTCTATAGAATCATGAATAAAATGTCGTATAATTCCGTTTACCTGCAATGTAATTGAAATAATTCTGAGCCATTCTGTATATATATATATATATAAAACTAACAAACCTTTTTTAAAATAATTGAACTCTGGATAAATTTCCTGGAATGCTGAATAATTCTTTATTATATAAAACAAATTCTCTTACCTTCAGAGAACCCATGCAACCAATGAATCCCATAGCTACGTGAGGAAAATAATGTGAGAACGTTAATGGAATGCCTCCTATGTACAAATTAGCGTATTTTGGAACCATTCCTCGCTGTGGCAGTATTTGTTCGCCGGTCACAGCCATAGTGCCGTTTACCAGCAATTTGGCAAAACATTTTTCGTTTTCATTATTGGCAACATATTGAAAGCTGTGATAAAACGAAAAGAAATGTTTCTTTCCTGTTAATATTATCATATAAAAATCAAAAAGATAATGAATTTTTTATGTCTGTTGGTTTAAATAATGAGAATTTAAGATTAAGTACAAATTAAAATTGAAAGAATAATCTAGTGCAAATGAAATACCTCATATCGATGTCTACTTCGTATCCATTATCGATAATCGCATCGATTTCACCAAGTAACATAGTTTCTAGTCCACAAGAAAATTGGAACTTCAACGATCCGAGTTCCAAGTACACCAAAGAATATCTTTCATTGTCAAAGTAAACGTGTAATATAATTCCATTTTTAAATGCCGTTTTAAGCTTAACGTAAATTCGGAGCGTTGCACTCTTATTCTCAGTCATTATTACTTCAACACGTTGTCTAATGAAAGATTTGCCGTTAAAGGCCGCTTGCGTAATAGTCGAATCTGTCTTGCAACCATCGGCATACTGAATAACAATTGTAATACAGACACATTAATTATTAATGTTTTATTTTGAGAGAAATTTAGTTTTAACTTTATTTAAGTTTTCCATATAGATTGCTTACAAAGTGTAAGTGTAGTGTTAGTGTAAGTGTTAGTGTAAGTGTAGATCTATAGTTTCAATTTCAAAATTCTTTACAAATTATTTTTTTATTATTATTTATTATTATTTATTGTTTTCATTATTATATTAATCACTTACTTCAGTAATATTTCGCGGAGTTATCATGGTAGTACTCGTAGAACATTGATTTCCGCGACAAGCGTCTATTTCTGTAGTATTAACTTCGATACTAGTAACAGTAGTTTGGCTTAACGAAGATATGCTAGTAGACGTTAACGAGGAAGGTACTGTGGAAGTGTCAAGTTTGATGGTCGAAGATAAGACCGATGGCAGTGTCGACGAGGTAGTTAAAGGTACAACAGTTCTTGGTGTATCCATGATTGTAGTTCCAAGCTCAAACGTTCTATTTTGTATGGAATCCGTCGTATATCGGAATGTCGTATCGATGGAAAGTGTTACATCGGTAACATGATCCATAATAGCACTTGTGGCGCTAGTTCTATTATCCTTTTGGCCTTCATCTATTGTAGATCGATAACTAAGAAACGGAATATATAGTGATATATTATTAAATTAACACAAAACTTATATGGATCTGTATATAATGAAAAAATTATCGATTCGATCTTTTAAAGAATATATGTTTAGGACATGTTATGGGATGAAAATTCACTCATGTGATACAAATTGTATCGCTTATTGTTATTGTGGCTAGACTGATAATTAATATCATCATTTATCAAATATATTGATCTCAATATTCTTAATGAGAATACTTCATTTTCTCCATCCTAATAAGAATATACCCCACTTACCTAGAACTTGTCGTGTACTCCGTTACATCTTCGTCTATTCTACTGGAAACCGGTATCTTTGTGGTCTGATCATAATCGCCAGGCTCCTTAGTAACTTCACCGTCGTGGACTGATCTCCCAGTTGGCAAATAAACTTCAGTACCTTCTGTCTCAGTCTCATGGAGGTAGCCTTCAGTAACAGTGATCGACGATATCGTTACGGGCTCCAACGTAACGAAATCGTCTCGAGTCGAACTCGTTGATGGAACTTCAGTAAGAAAAACGCTGTTATCGCTGCTAACACTAGAATCTTCGTACCTTGGTGTCGTAGTCTTCTCTATAATTGTATATCTCTTCGTATAAGGTGAACTACTTGTTCTCGGAGATGTCGGATAAGTGGCAAAGCTAGTCGATAGAGATGATAAAGATAAAGATGTGTCCACTAACGAAGTCGATTCTTCAGGTGAAACTATGGCAGTTGTAGTTTTGATTAAACTCGTTCCTTGTTCAGATGTGTCTTCCATTTCTAGAGTAGTTGTCGAAAGAAAACTATATTCGCACATAGGACCACCGTAATTTGGTGGACACGCACAAGTGAAACTGTTGATACCGTCGATACAGGTACCTCCATTGTCGCATTGTGCAAATTTCGATTCACAATCGTCATATCTTAGCTCACAAAATGCACCATGATAATCGGGCACGCAGTAACAAACTGAACGGTCGTCCTCCAGTAGACACACTGCTCCGTTTTGGCAAGGATTCTCTTTGCACGGCACGATTGCCTTATCACAATCCTTGCCAGTAAAACCTTTGATAAAAACAACGCAATAAAAATGTTCATTAAAATTTATAAGTTATAATTAATGTTAGAAAAATAAGAAAAGTGGCATATATTATTTTTTAAATTCTTTAAAGAATGCTCGCTCTAATCTTAAGAAGATAACGATAGTAAGATACTTGTAACTTCCGAAATTTAATTATAGTCTTAATTTTAATTATGGCTTTATATAAATTATTTATGCTATTTCTAGACAAAAATATCTGTAACTCTCATGGCAAGAATAACTTCTTTACCGAATAAACAAGCACAAGTGTAGGAAGAGGGAATATTGATGCAGAGACCACCATTTCTGCATGGTGACTCCAAACATTCGTCAACGTCCATCTCGCAAATGGCACCGGTCCATCCTTTTGAAATCGTACATGAGAAGAGAAAAATACCATTATGATAGAATAAAAAATGCAAAGGAGCAAAATATTTTTTACGCACATAAGTAGCTTTACGAATTTCCTACCTTCGCGACAACGACAATAGAATGAGAAACCGGGTCCTTCGATGCATTCACCGGAATTTTTGCACATTGTCTCATTGCAAACTGACGCATCGATCTCGCAATATTCTCCTAGAAATAAAACAAGAAAATAACGAAACTTTTTGAATATACATACTTGTTTTCACGCACCTAAGTATCCATCCAAACATTGACAAGTGATGCCATCATAATCGACGCAGGTACCATTGTTAAGGCACGGATGGTTCGAACATTCGCTATATCTTTGTTCGCAATTCACACCTATTTTTTTAATTAAAAATGATATTATTTATTTTTATTAATTCTCTTATATTAATTTATTTGACGAAGGATATGACGAAGAAAAATGAATTACCTACAAAACCGTCGAGACAGGTGCAATTATATGCGGCAACGCCGTCGTTGCATGTGCCACCATTAAGACAAGGATCTGACCAACATTCGTCCCAATTAATTTCACAATTAATCCCCGTGTAACCATCGATGCAGTAACAAGAATAAGTGCTGTATCATCCATGAAAAAATCATAAAGTGAAAATAAATAAATATTTCGATAATTTTAATTACTTTGATTCGTATATATTTTTAAATTAATTAGTATAATACTAACAAGAATAAATAATATTAAATCTTCATAAGTTATTTTTATCCTAATATTTATTAGACAAATATGTGGTTTTAAGAAAGATTTTTATAACTGCTATATACAATAATATTTCTTATAGATGTTAATTATTAATTGGTTTCAATAAATTAATATAATATATCTTCATATCTTCCACATACGAGATTCTAAACTAAAAAAAATACTATATTTCCATGTATATACAGCGTGAGCTATAATATCTGTCTTATATCTAACGAAATGTTCACCTTATTCGATCTCAGATTATTAAGATGCGTGCTTTTATTAATCGTAAAACTATATGTATGTACCTGTTCTCGTTGTCCAAACAGATCCCATACATACAAGGATCTCCGCTACAATCTGATCCTAATGCAAACACCGTAATCACGGTCGACAGTACTATCAGAGTAAAAATATTTTTACACGCAGTCCTCGCAGATGATGGATAGTAACTCCACTTATAAGCCAGCCTAAATAGCCTTACATACCTTTACAGCATGATTATAGCATGATATATACACATGTCGATTTGTTACTAACGTATAATAATGTGTATGTGTGCACGCGCGCTGGAATGTGTATAAGTGTATTTAGATTACGTTTACTATATGTCGTATATTAGGACAAGAAGCTCTACAACCATTACATGATGATGTAAATTAGTGAGATATGAATCTATTTGTTTCATGTTGAATAATGCAGTGATTTTGTAGACATTCAACACATATAATACTTATAGTTTTATAATAGATTACGGAAATATCTCTATATAAATTAATATATCATTGTCATTAACACATTGCATTAGTTATTAAAATGATTGGAGAAACTGTAATTAATTATATCTTAATACAAAAAGTAAAAATATATATATATATATAAAATTAAAAAAATTGAGATTAATTTTTCTCAAGCATTAGTTGCTTCGATATAAGGTACAATTCGATTAAATTGGAATAATAGTACGGTTTGAGTCACGTTACTGTGCCAACGTTCGTCCGTGACCTTTCTCGTGAATTTTGGCATTACGTTATCAGCTAAAATGCCGCAGAGGGAAAATTAATTACACTTGATCGGTATGATCCCTAAAAGGATATAACAAATGGAAATGATTCGCCGAGAGAAAAGGATGAATCATCCTTTTCCATTACCTTCCCATTTTTGTACGACGATGGGCAATAGAAAAAAAAAGGAGAACGCGGGTTGTCGAAAAACACGGCACTTTCGACAATCTCTGTACACATTTACGGTATGCTGTAGGCATATATCGCTAGCGCGGCATAGGCCGTGTATATACGTTGATATGTACGCTGTTCTTGGCGATACCGTTCACGATACCCCTTTGACGACGAGGACTCAACCTGTAGTCTTAGCAACGCTCGACCATACAAATATAACTATTACATGCTGTACGCTTGCGTGAAGCAATCATATCGACATTAATTCTGACGTTACCATTACATAAATAAAATTTATTAATAGAAAGAGATATATTTTTTGGATTTCTTTGCCTTCACAAGGTCGTAGAGTACGTCTGCAAACTGTGAACCAAACAGTTTGAAACAGTAATTTTTTATTTCATATAGCTGTATTATCAGCACCAATTTTGTAATTATTGATGTTTCTTTGCGATAAAAAGTAAGATTTAGTTCTTTGAGAATTACAATATTTGCAAACTACAGAACACGAGACACTTTAGTCATGCGAACAAAGTCAAGAAACAGATCAATATCACACGTTTACAGAATAAATCGATACATTTATGACCGTACAAGGTCGTGATGATATATTGTTATATCCGTTGAATGAACTTTTCGTCCCATGAAAAACTTTGATTAAAATAGACGCAGATATATAATGAACAAAATATAATTTTGTGCTTTCTCTAATTGCCAAACGAATTGTTTATTCGAATATTTAAGTATTTTATTTGCAATCTGTTGACATCTCGCAAAATGCGTAAACTGTAAACAGATAGGTAAATTGGCTAGTTTTTGGTGTCGATATGCTGCCAAATTATAATTCTATTTTAAACTAAGATTTATAATAAGAGAAAACTACTCATAGAACAGTGCTATTCGTGTGCCTCCAATTAGACGTTTTTCGACTTCGTAATATTAATCCTGATCTTAATTATATAATTAATTTGTAAGACGATCCGTGACTATTACGAAAGCTAAAATTCTCTGATACTTCTAACACCGGTCTGCGGTATATCACATCTGACAAAGGACGAGTATAAATATCCCAATGCCATCACTGCCTCATTGCATTCTTGCTCAAGTAGTTTTCATATATGTCGATTTTTCTAAAATTCAAATCTAGAAATCTCATGGTCAACTACAAAAATTTTAGGTCAAATCCATGAATATCTCTCTGTATTTGTAACAATTAGAAATTGATCTTACTGCAAATTAGATCAGCTTCATCAAAAGGAGAGCTTCTATTTTGCAAACATTGTAAGATCTCAACACCCACTTGCTATTTGTGCCGATCAACAAAACAAGATTTTCCCAGCTCTTAAATTTTCTCTGTTTAGTTAGACGAAACTGGCTCAGTGCCGTGAACTAATACGTTTCATCATCTATATAAAAGAGGAAGATTAAATCGTCGAGGGGGAGGATCGAGAGGAACATTATAAGCAGAGCACATCTATCGTCCAGATGGAACGTGAGATGGAAGAGTTGCTCAAGTCTCATCTGCGAGAGAATAATCTTTTGCAAGATGAACCCAGGTCATGGATCGTTGGTCGTTCTCCTCTCGGAGGTCGCGGCATATTTGCCACGCGAGATATACGAGCTGGCGAGCTAATCTTCATAGACGTCCCATTATTAATAGGACCACGATGTTACAACAAGTACTTGCCAATGTGTGTCGTTTGTTACAAAAACAATTGCGCTCTGTTCCCCTGCGATCACGGCTGCGGTTTGCCGATCTGTTCTACAGAATGCGAAAATTCCATGGTGCATGTCCAAGGGGAATGCCG